AAATCAGGTGTATGTACTCTCTCAGATTTCTTTTTATAGAGTAAGTGCTTTAGAGAGTGTTCTTGAACATGAAGAGGATTTGATTTTATTATTTTTTTAAAATGTGAACACGTACTTCAGTTGCCTGAGTCTGTGGCTGGATCACAGTACTCTCTAGGAAGAGAAAATGTTATTTTCATGAAGACCTTAAGGAAGAGTGCTCACCTATATGGCACTGCCTCATTTTACTTATAAAATTTTGGATTGGTTTTTCTATTTTCTTACTGTTTAATAAGGCAAAGAAGAAAGCCAACAAAGCCTTCAATGTAATTTAAACTCCAGTTATTAATACCTTTATACTTTGTATTTTCTTGTTAGTTTGGGATTTGAAGCAGAGGCTTAAGCTGGCATGGTAATCCTAGCAGTGCACGTTAGCAAGTCCTAAACGGTGCAGAGAGCCTTGATTCCTTAAAGCAGGGCAGTAAATCTGTCTTGCCCTAATTCTATCAGTTCATTGTAAAATTGGATGAGTTTGTGAGTTTGAGTGTTTTCTTTCAGGCTCCAGGAATCTGAAGCACAGCACATGCTGGTGAGCTATGACGTGTGAGGGGTGTTCTAGGCCTTTACAGGAAGGTTGGAGTTTTAAAGCTCAGCTCCCTGGGATGTTCTCCCTCCTCAGATTCTGGGGAGGTGTTTGAACCCTGATGCTCTCTTGCTGCAAATCAGATCCACGTTGTTGCTCCCCTGGGCTGATTCCTCTGGCTGAGGCCAAGTGCTCTGCTGACCTCAGCCCTGCTCCTCTTGATCCCCTTCTCAGCCCATTGATTCTGCTCCAGCCCTTCCCAGCAAGAGAAAAGCTCTTGCCCCAAGGTTGAAAGGATGAGAAGAGTTTCTTTCCATCCTGCCTCTGTCCAAGAGTGCCAATCCCTCCCATGTGAACATCTAAATACTCAGTATTCTGTGGCATGTTCTGGCCATGCGAACATCTCTGTGATGGATCATGGCTCCTCCATGGGCTTCTCCAGGGCCACAGACTTTTTCCAGGAAATATCCCATCAGAAGCCCTCAAAGCAAAGCCATTCCCAAGCTCTGAATGTCCTGTAAAGCTGCTTTGGTCGTGTGGCTCAAATAGAAATTTAAATAGGTAATGTGGAAAGAAAAGGAGATGTGGATTCCAGACAAAATACCCGAAAACGCTTGTGTGGGTTTTGTTGTACATTTCACAACAGGTGCTATTCTCTAAGCATGGCATAATGTGTTTTGTGGGTTTTAATATATTTTTTCAAGCTTAAATTTTAGTTAACTACAGTTTAGATTTCTGGACTTGACTCTATGCTGGGATGGTATGAATTTAGATGAAAGCAAATCTCTCTTGAAGGAATTTCCAATCTAATTTAGTTTTTAGGTATCTTCACTTTAAAATATTTAGTTAGTATATATTCACTAGGGAAAGAGTGCTTGATTTTAATTTTCATGATGATTGGATTATGGAATTAAAAGTTGATTGAACAAGTTATTTTGCTTTATTGGTTGAAGGAACATAACTCGGCAGTTTATTTTGCAGTTTATATTTTTGGTGCCATCTCATGTAACACAGGCTCATGTATTACTCATCCCTCCCTTCTCCTGAAAAGTCTTGGATTTTTTATTTCTCTCTTTAATTTCAATACCCTGGAGTGTTTGAATTGAAGAGTCTCAAATAAAAATCTATTTTGGGGCAGGAAGTTTTCTTGATGTTTTGGACAACACTTACTTCTACTTTCTAATGCCAAATCATCTTTCAAGCTGATGCCATTAAGCCAGAGAATTTTGTGGTTTGTATAATAATACAAGTCCCAAATGGTGGCAGCTATTGAAGTTAACACTTTTTGCCCAACTGTGGGAGTACCAGCATCTTTGAGAGATTCCAATTTTGGTTCTTATTTATGCTTGACATTTAATGTGCTTGACATTCTGATTATTTTACACCTACCTAATTTCTTCTAGCTCCAGGGATAATGACAATATTTTAAGCATCTGTGAAGTGTATCTGTGTGTTACAGAGCAGGTGCAATGCTACAAATGGAAGGAAAAAGTCCCCAAACTATTTCTGGAATCATTGTTTCTTTTGTGTTGCATATCTCAGGGTCAGGTAGAGTTTCTCACCAGCTTGGTCTGGTCACCAGTATTAGCTTTGCTAATATTTTATATCCTGTTATTTAGCCATATGCCTATCTGTGTGTGTATAGATAGAAAAAAATCACATAAAGTGGACTGGGTGCTCACATGGTGTCCTTTGTGATCTAGGGGCAAGGCTGTAGAGAGAGAGTTTCCCAAGTTGTTACTGCAGATTTATATTTTCCCTAAATTCTGAATTAAAATAACATATAAAATTCAGCCCTTTAAACTGAGCCCATGTGTCCATGGCACATTTAGTGTAGAACTTAGAACTGTGTGTTGGTTTATAGATAATTGGGATATAACCCAAGAAACGAAAATAATGGGAAAAAAATTACCCAAATGATTGTAAGTACACTCTGTGTAAAGTCCTTACTCTCTCTTTGCAAAGTAATTTTATTAATCTTTTTGAGTTGTATTCCCTTTATTATGTGGCTCCCTGCAGTCATGTCAGGTTTTAGGCTCTTTTGAAAAGGTTAAAATGGCTATCAGGGAAAGAGGGAGCAGGATGAAAACAGTGGGAAAACCAAGTTCTTCACAGAAGTGCAACTGGTGGCCACAATTTCCTTTTTCATGTACTGGAAATCTCATGTTCCATTTGACTATTGACTGAATGAGGAGTGACAGAGAAAAGTTAAAATGCTTTATTTTACAGACCCATGTGGGTACATGTTAAATACTCGCCCAAGTCCTCCCAAAACAATCACCATGGCCTAGCCAGGGGTCCTTGAAGCAGCCCTGACAGAATGGGTTTTAAGAACAATTAGAAAAATTCCATTATTTTGCAATCTTGCCACCTGGTGGTACAGCCTGATAATAAATATTTGGTTAGAAACCTGTTCCCAAAGTCACATTTTCTTTGGTAGACAGGGTCTTGAGACTAGGTTTTCAGACTGGATCCTACAAAGGCTCCTGTTTGTAGCAGGCAGGTTCAGTGTGTTCCTCCTTCACTGTCAGTGCCCTGTGTGGGGCAGTGCAAGGCTGTGCATCCCTTGGCATTAAACACCACAGAGTCAGATCAGAGGCTGCCTTGGGTTGGAAGGGACCTTAAAGCTCATCCCATTCCACCCCTGCCATGGCAGGGACACCTTCCACCATCCCAGGCTGCTCCAAGCCCCATCCAGCCTGGCCTTGGGCACTGCCAGGGATCCAGGGGCAGCCACAGCTGCTCTGGGCACCCTGTGCCAGGGCCTGCCCACCCTCACAGGGAAGGATTTTTTCCTAAAGTCCCATCTAACCCTGCCCTCTGGCAGTGTGAAGCCATTCCCCCCTGTCCTATCACTTGTAAATCACCTCTCTCCATGTTTCCTGAAACTTCAGGCGCTGCAAGGCCACACTGAGCTCACCCCAAAGCTTCTAGCCTCTCCAGGTGAGCAATGCCAGCTGTGCCAGCCTTTCCTGCCATCCTCATCCTGGAGCCTCCTCTGGGCTCTGCAGCAGCTCCAGCTCCCTCCTGTGCTGCCCAGGGCTGGGGCAGCTCTGCAGGAGGGGCACGTCAGCCACCAGCACCTCCGAGTGCTTCTCCCCTGGGCTGCTCCATCTTTCCATCCCCCCAAATCAGCTCCCACTGATTTCCACACACATGAGGGGAGGGGAAGTCTGGGTATACTGTGTGGTCCTGGAACACTGGGTTAGGCATTAACCTTCAAAATACATTTGAAATGTGATTTACAAAGGAATGGTGTCCATGTCCTGCAAGTCCCAGGTAAATTACACAAACTGAACTGACCTGAGTTAGAGCAAGAATATTTAAGGGATGTTGCTATGCCTCAAACAAGTCCTACAAAAGCCAGCAATATGGAACTGAAATGTGTTTGGATAGTTTGAATGTTCATTTGGGCACAAGGTGGAGACTGAATAAAGCCCATGACGTGCCAAACCTGGCAGAGCTGACACTCAGTGGCAGAAGCATGGGGAAAGTCACTCCTTTTTGCTAATCCAAGATGAAGCAGATGTGATCCTACTGGTGTCTGCAGGGAAATCCTCATTTATAATGAAAGATGTTTTCACATGGTGTTCAAAGGGCCTTAAACAATCCAGCTTTGCAAGCTGAATCCAAACATGATTTACTGAGGGGTGTGATGAATTGATCATTAGCTGGAGCTCACAAGCCAGAAGTGGATGTTTGCTCTCCCAGGAGCGTCCCCTCTGGCTCTGCCAGATGCTGTGGTGTGACACCAGAGGAGCCCAGTGTAATTCTGTGCTTGGGTCAGACATGGCATCGTGCTGGAGCACAACAATCCCTTTCAGTACCAAACATGAAAAACACATTTCTTTCTGTCTGTCCTTATGGTGTGTAGTGGGGATGTGTTCCCACATCCCATCCAAGGGGGGCCTCTCCTTGCCTGTCATTCCATGCACCCTCCTGAGCATCTCTTATGACACCAACCAGAATGTTACTTACCATGACATCGTTGTGCTGACCCTAAGACCTCTCAATTATTCCCTTCCAAGTTCTTATGTCATGCAAGGAATGTCTCTCCTCTGCTCCTGCTCTCTCTGCTGGCTTTTCCCTCTCACACAGACACAACACACACGGAGTTTTCAGTCTCCAAAAACATAAAAAATCACATTTATTTACAAATATGAGAGGCCAGAGGGCTACAGTTCTGATAAATGGGTAAGAAGAGATGTCACTGGACTGTGTTTTCAAGCTTTTAATTCACATCTTTGGTCACAGAGTTGGAACTTTTTAATCCCTTGATTTTACTGCAAAATGTCCCTAACTATTTATGACACTGGATGTTTGCTCTTGGATCTATTTCTCCTGTGGGGCATCCTTTAGATCAATCCTTGTTTGTTCTATTAATTTGCTTAATTCTCTGGGGTTTGTCAAGTCTAATTATCTTCTTTCTTTCTTCCAGTTTTGAAATCAAGATTGATTAGCCAACACGAGAAGACCCAGCTGGTTATGTGACTCAGAACCCTGTTCATGAGGCACTTGCTTGTTTTTACGAGACAACTGTAAGTTGCTTCTTTTTCTTTTCCTCCCTCAAATTAAAAATCTACTGTTGTAACTTCATAGAAATTCTGGAAAATTCTTGAGGAATTCACTTTGATTGGTAAAGACAATCTTGAAATTTGGCTTGGTGATGCCAGCCAAGGACCAGACGTGCTCCATTCACTTTACCAGAGATTTTTTCCACAGAGTGATGGTTTTCCATTGTTTAAGGAGAGATTCCCTCGGCTAGGAAGATCAATCTGCTGTCTCTGTACGTTGCGCTATGTGACATGTGGGATCAGGGAATGTGACAAACCTGTTTGCAGGGCACTGCTGGTGGTTTGTGTGAGGAGATGCTGAATCCCAGCACAAAGTGGTGCAGGAGGAGCTGACTCCTCTGCAGACAGGTACCTCTGGCAGAATTCTGCATTCTCCCACAGCCCCCAGATCCTGAGGTTTTGGACTAAATAATGATTCCTCTGTACTTGATGTAGACAGGGGTTTTTTTTCCTCACAACTATAAATTTGTTCTTCATAAGGCAAACCCTCAATTTTACTCACAAATTAGAATTTCTCAGGTAAAATATCAGTTATAGTGTGGAATGCAAGTGTGGGGATGCAGAAATGGAAGTTCCAGCAGTAACAGTGCATTGCTTAATTATTTTTTTATCTATATAATGAGCTAGGTTTTATAAGCTCAACTTAACGAAATTATTAGATCCAGGTGGAGTGCTGATACATTTGTCACCATGTTTGGTGCAGTGTGAATCTAATTTATCATTTTTCTCTTGCGTGAAAATGCTCTGCCTTAGCAGTGATGAGACTTTAATTTCTGCAAGCAGGTGGTGGGGGGTTTAATTATTAAATTTTGGGAGCCATAGATTTACAGGATGTTCCACCCAGATGAGCAGGAATCCAGCCAGTGCTATTAGGTATGGGGCAGCACCACATTATCTCCAGCTTTTCTTTAGTTATAACTGCACTGAAAGCCAGGCAGGCTGGGTTGGCTGAACTTCATAATCTTGTTAAAATGGCATTGCCCAACTGCCACTGATTGTATAAAAATTCTCTGTTTTGTACAAGCTGATATTTATTCTGAATTTTCTCTTGAATAGCAAGTGATTCTAGTAACTTGCAAGTGGTGATACAATGCATGTACAATCTGTATTTTCATTTGTTACCTCTCTTGTTGCTGAAGGTTCATTAACCAAGGAGGGAAAATGAGGTATAATATTCAAACTATTAGAGAAAAAAGGGAAAATAGCACTCACCAGCAAAAAGCTTTTGGGCTTCTGAAATAGTAGAACCAATAAAGAAAAATTAGTAAGTATTAACTGTAAAATAAAATTTTGTAGAGTGAAGTATAAGCTTAGTATTAATTTTTCTGATTGCACGGAGATGTCTGAGCAAACTTGCTTTATGACAACAATAAATATATTCCAAAAATATTGAGATTATTAGCAAGTTATTAGGGAAGAGTGGGAATCACATTCTTTTCAGCAGGTAAACATAGGAAGGACAGCAAGAGCACCCTGTTACTATGGGTGTCTGCTCACAGAACTCTCCCTCTCCTATGATGTGTGTGGAGCAGACTTAAAGTTTGATAGCAGAAGCACAAAGAAATTAATAACTCAGATTAAAAGGCTTTGCTGGTTTTCTGTGGGTAATGAAGGAAGCTCTCCATAGATTAGAGCTCTGAATTCTGGGTGGCTGAACACTGGTTTGCAGAACACTGCACAAAATTGTTTTAGATTAATTTTTCTATACTGTACATGGAAAAACCTGAAACAACTGTTGTGTTAGGAAGTTGATAAAAATAATTATATTGTACGAAGTGGCGCTTGCACAGATTTAATGCGTTCAAAATATTATGTAATCTAAATGTGGGGAGAAATTACTCAAAGGTTTCTCTCCTTTTCCATTACTGATTTTCAGAGAGATTTCCACGCAGGTGATTTCCACTCACCTACAGTTCTCACCTCCATGTAAATGTTTGATGGGCTCTTTTAGCTAAAACTAACCCAACTTCTGTCAAAATGTTCTAGTGGATGCCTATATTTTTTCAGTATAGAGCAGAATGAAAACATGGTCATAATGACTGTGTGGGCAACTGTACCATCAAATATTGCAGAGTGCTCAGCATCACTTCTCCCTGACAGCAGCAGTTTGTCACTGGTGCTTTAATGAAGGTTTTAATAGGTGCCACAAGCTGTGCAGACCAAATATTGTGCTTGTCTTTCAAAGTAATACAGACTCAAGCTTCATTTTTCCCAAAACTCTTAAAACAAGTAGTCTATAATCTATTTGTCAGACATTTAAATGTCTGTAAGAGACTGAAAAGTGAAGACAGACTTACTAGAGAGGGAACTTTCTTAGTCATTCAGCTATTAAAAAAAAGAAAAGCCTCCCGAGGTTTTGTCCTTTTTTATTTAATCTTTTTTTCTTTTTCCCCCAGAGAAATAAGCAGAATTTGAAATGCTGTAATTTTCTCTATTTCTCAGTATAATAGTTTCAATTCCTGTTGTGGAAGGCAAGCTGCCAGGCACAACCACACAATTCAGTGAGCTTGTAGAGATAAAAAAATTGCGACCCCCAAAACAAACCTTCCTAGAGCCTTCAGACTCTCCCATCCCATTCCAGGATAAAATGGGCTGAATCCCTGGATTCCTCAGTTTAACTTCCCTCTCAGCCAGAGCTGAGTCTGCACACATGGAAGGTGTTGCTGCCTGCACTGATGAACACGAAGCACCTGCTGTGGTCAAACCTTGGCAGGAGCTTTAGACAAGAGCCAGGAGGTCCCAGTGCTCTGGGAATGTGTCTGCTGAGCTCAGGAACTCACAAGGATATGCTCTTCTCAAAGGCAGCTGCAAGTGTTGTCCTCTCCTAAAGATGTTCCCGTGTGAAATCCTTCCTGGTTTTGTTTTGTTGTCCCTGTGATTTATTGGAGTTATTAAGGAGATACTTTGGGCTGTGCTGTTGTTTCTGTGCTGCTCAGCCCTGAAATGCCAGCTGGAACTGGGCATGGAAAGCTGAAGGAATGGTTTTATCTTGTGTGGCTGCACCTGCTTTCCCCTCCTGGCCTGTAAATGCAAGGCACTAGTAAGCCACTGAAACTTTCCAGCAGTGAGACAACCTTTGGCAGACAGCTTTTGTCACTTCTGCCACCTCCCCTGGGGGCAAACAGCAAAGCATGGGGCTCCCTTCACTGCAATCCCCAGCACAAATTATCCAGCAGCTCATCCCAGACAATGAGAGATGTCAGCAATGCCTGGTTTGCAGGTGTGATGTCAGAGACAGCCCCATCCATTCCTCCATGGATCCATCCATCCATCATCCATCCATCCATCATCCATCCATCCATCCATCCATCCATCCATCCATCCATCCATCCGTCCATCCATCCCATCCTTCCATCCATTTCTGTGCTACTTCTCTCCCTGCATTTGAAGGGGAAGAAGACCCTGTTCCTTTTTCTGGCACTTGTGAATGTGATGATGCTCCTTCAGAGGGGTTGTGCAGAATCAGAGCAGGCCTGCACCTACAAAAATCTGCACATTCATCTTCTCTTTGCACAAATAAATTAAATATATAAATATCTGTGAATGAATCTGAGCTCTTCCCTAGAGCTACCTGTACATTCAATTTCTCTTTGCACAACTAAATTAAATATATAAATATCTGTGACTGAATCTGAACTCTTCCTCTGAAGAGCAAACTTTGTTTAATTAGTCTTTCCCTACTGTCTGATGTTAGTGACATTTATAATCATACAATTACTGCTTCATTTCAATTTTATGTTATTTTCAGAGGTCAGGAAGGGTAATATTCCAACATATCCGTACTCAGTAAGAGGGTAACAGCTGACAGGAGTTCTTGCACGGGGTTTTCATCAGTAGATCTTGAAGTGCATTAGAAAAATATGGATTTTTATCCCTGTTTTAAAGGTGATGGGAACTGTGGCCCTGTGAGGCTGCCCAGCATGGCTGTGCAAACCTCTGCATGTGTTCTATTGCCTAAACATCCCACCAGACTCCTGAGCAACAGATTAAAATACAGTGTGGAAACACAAGAGCAGAAAAATTTAATGGAATCTTAATGGAATAAAATTAGGATTTTTAAAAAACCAACCCCCCAAAAATTTAGCATATTCCTGCTGAATTCTGTATTGTGTGTTTGGTTCAAATAATCTCTTGGATGGATTAACATGAAGTTATTACATAATATCAGTTAATTTTCTAATTAATGAGTGCTACCCTGGGATTTAAGCAATTCTCACCTGTCTTGGTGTGACCTGACTGTTAAAAATGGCAAAGAGCCTCAGTGTCAGGGGCTGCTCTGGCAGAGAGAACAGTGTTTGTGCTCCCCAGGGTCCCAAGGAACTGAGCAGTTTTGGGGGGGAAAAGTCAGGTGAGACTTCAGTGCCTGCTCAAGGGACAGGAGGAAATGTATTGGATTTATATCAGGAGCTCCTTGCAGGTGCTGTTGGACACATTTCCCTCTCTGAAGAAAGACAAAGTGCTCCAGGGAGCAGCTGCAAACAAGAAATTCCTCCTGACTTTGGAGCAATCCTTGTTGATATCAATAAATTGTTTGTGATCAATAAAGAGCTGCTGCCCATGAAGGGAAATTCATGTGTGTGTTTGTGCTTTAGGGTTTTCCCTGGCAGGCTCTTTGATGGAACAGGGTTTGTAGGTGTGCTCCCAGATTTTTACTGGCTTCTGGCTCTTCCTGGAGCCCACATTTCTGCAGGTTTCTCTAACGCAGAGCACAGAAATGGGAATTTTCTTAATGTGACATGCACAGAGGGCTGGGTACAATTCAAATGCTAATATGTAGAAATCAAATCTCACAAAGGAGTGTGTTAACATTTGTCTTTATTCACACTCTATTTCAAAGGATATGTGCCAAGCCTTTCTTGACACTCAGGGTATTCTACATTGAACAAGTTCACCCCTGAAAGGCAGAGAGAAGCATTTCCTTTGTGCAAAGTTTAAGTCTTTTGATCCCATGGAAAAGTGAATTT